GCAAAGTCCCATAATGGTTCCAGAGCTCTCTCTGTGCTTCTGAATTTTTTTTTAAAATACAGGGTCTTGTTCTGTCTCCCAGGATGGAGTGCAGTGGTGTGATCTTGGCTCACTGCAGCCTCAAACTCTTGAGCTCAAGTGATCTTCCCACCTCAGCCTCCCAAATAGCTGGGACTACAGAAGTGCACCACCACACCCAGCTAAGCGTTTTAATAGATATTTAGCATACATTATGGTCTCTGTCTTTGCATTTAGTAAGGGGCAAGCGGTAGGTATGCCTGGGACTCCAGTCCTGGGCAGCAGGAGGTAGAGTGAGCCTGTTTTGCCTCACCCCCAACCCCTTGCCTGGCACTGGCACCCCCTCCATCCACCAGCAAGTGGGCTGGGGCTTCCTGCAGCTGCTGCCCTGGACCTGTTTGGTGGGCATGGGGACTTCACTGCCAGCAACTTGGAGGATCATATCATTTGCCCTGCCCTGCCTCTTCCACAGTAGAGAAGTTCCTTGACAACAGGAACTGTTCCCTGGTACGTACCCCAATGCCTGCATATAGCACACGCCTTACATGAACAGATGAACAAGTCTCACCAAAACATTTGGCAATCTGGATGTCACAACATAAAGATGGGTTTTAAAAGCACAAATTCTGGTCAGGCACAGTGGCTCATGCCTGTAATCCCAGCACTTTGGGAGGCTGAAGCAGGCAGATCACTTGAGGTCAGGAGTTTGAGACCAGCCTGGCCAAACCCCCCTCTACTAATACAAAAAATCAGCCAGGCATGGTGGCAGGTGCCTCTAACCACAGCTACTTGGGAGGCCGAAGCAGGAGAACACCTTGAACCCAGGAGTTGGAGGTTGCATTGAGTAGAGATCATGCCACTGCACTCCACCCCCTCCCCCACCAAGAAAAAAAGTGCAAATTCTTCCACTAACCTCATGTAAGGTATTGTCAGGCATACAACCACACGAGAAGGACATCCTTTCAAACAAGTTGGTTTAATTTCAGGTGATACAAAGTTTAGGGTAGAACAAAGACCAAAGAGCAGACTCTGGCAAGGTTCTGAGCTGGTTTTACTTTAAATTCACAGTTATGGTAGGAATGACTTAGTGAAAACAACTAAAGAGATGATGAACCACTGTAAGTTTTTTTTTTTTTTTTTTTACAAAAGTTTATTCTTAAATGTACAACAGCTCCAAGACAACACTTAATTCCAGCTTTAGGTGGCAAAAGATGTTATGGCAGGGAATATAGACGTTTAAATAAGGATGAAATAAAGGATCACCATCTCCTCAGGCATAAAGAACAGCTTACTTTTTGCCAGATTTCTTAATTCCACCTGTGGCTGCAAAAGAAAAATAGTCACAATTAGGGAAAAATATAGTTCTTACGGTAGAAGCCCCATGGACCTGCTGTGGACCTTAGTAAAGCCTGGCTTTTGTACTGGGCATTCGCTTTAACACAAGCATGGATAGCAGCTTCACTGATATTGTCTGTTCTAGGTAAAGGTAAAATGAGGATAAGATGGTGTTTACAAGCAGTGGCTGGCTGCGCACTGGTCTAGATCTACACTCCTGTATACTTCACAGATTGGCTTATTTAATCCTCATTCCCTATCAATCCATTTTACAGAAAAAGAAGTTCTTTTTTTTTTTTGAGACAGAGTCTTGCTGTGTCACCCAGGCTGGAGTGCAGTGGCACGATCTCAGCTCACTGCAACCCCCGCCTCCTGGGTTCAAGCAATTTTCCCGTCTCAGCCTCCCGAGCAGCTGGGACTACAAGCCCCAGCTAATTTTTGTATTTTTAGTAGAGATGGGGCTTCACCATATTGGTCAGGCTGGTCTCGAACTCCTGACCTCAGGTGATCCGCCTGCCTCGGCCTCCCAGAATGCAGGGATTACAAGTGTGAGCCACTGAGCCCAGCCTTTTTTTTTGGGACAGAGTCTTGTTTTGTCACCTAGGCTGGACTATGGTGGTGCAATTTTGGCTCACTGCAGCCTCCACCTCCCGGGTTCAAGTGATTGTTTATGCATCAGCCTCCCGAGTAGCTGGGACGACAGGCACACGCCACCACATCCGGCTGATTTTTGTATTTTTAGTAGAGATGGGGTTTCACCATGTTGGCCAGGCAGGTCTCAAACTCCTGACCTCAAGTGGTCCACCCACCTCAGCTCCCAAAGTGCTGGGATTACAGGCGTGAGCCACTGTGCCCAGCCAAAAAAGAAGTATTATTGTTAGGTGTTGTTCAATGTATGTGACAAGCCAGGATTCCAACCTGAGTTGTCTGACTTCAAAGTCCACATTCTTAACTGCCACATTACACTGCCTTCCATATTATGATCCTGGCACCTGGTATACTCTACTAATTTACAAATCATCATATATGTGGAACCCAGTAGGCGATTTAAGAAACAGTGTAGGATTGGGCCAGGTGCGGTGGCTCACGCCTGTAATCCCAGCACTTTAGGAGGCTGAGGCAGGCAGATCACAAGGTCAGGAGATCGAGACCATCCTGGCCAACATGGTGAAACCCTGTCTCTACTAAAAATACAAAAATTAGCCAGGAATGGCGGTGTGCACCTGTAATCCCAGCTACTCAGGAGGCTGAGGCAGGAGAATCACTTGAACCCAGGAGGCGGAGGTTGCAGTGAGCTGAGATCGCGCCACTGCACTCCAGCCTGGGCGACAGAGTGAGACTCCCTCTAAAAAAAAAAAAAAAAAAAAGAAACAGTGTAGGGTTATGTATGCCTAATACAGGAAAGAAGATCCAAAGGGGCCTGACAAAATAAACCTTAAAAAAAAAATATTAGATGATGCTCAACGACAAACAACTAGCATAGAGTTACACTAAGGACTGATCTTTTCCCTATACACAATCACAGATTAAAAGAGGGTGCAAGATACCTTTTTTTTTTTTTTGAGATAGGGTCTCACTCTATCTCCCAGGCTGGAATACAGTGGCGTGATCCCAGCTCACTGCAGCCTGAACTCCTGTGCTCAAATAATCCTCTTACTTTTAACTCCTGTGCTTAAATGAGGCTGCCTCAGCCTTTTAAATAGCTGGGATTACAGGAAATGAGCCACCACCACCACGCTCAGCTAATTTTAAAATTTTTCTGTAGACAGGGTCTCCCTTTGATGCTGTGAACTCCTAGCCTTAAACAATCCTCCTGCTTAGGCCTCCCAAAGCACTAGGATTATGGTCGTCAGCCACTGTCCCTGGCCCCTTACACCATTCTGAAAAGGAATCTCAAGAACTAGAATCTCAGTGCTGGGTAGGTAAAGAATAATGGATCGGCCGGGCGCGGTGGCTCAAGCCTGTAATCCCAGCACTTTGGGAGGCCGAGACGGGCGGATCACGAGGTCAGGAGATCGAGACCATCCTGGCTAACACGGTGAAACCCCGTCTCTACTAAAAATACAAAAAACTAGCCGGGCGAGGTGGCGGGCGCCTGTAGTCCCAGCTACTCGGGAGGCTGAGGCAGGAGAATGGCGTGAACCCGGGAGGCGGAGCTTGCAGTGAGCTGAGATCCGGCCACTGCAGTCCAGCCCAGGCTACAGAGCAAGACTCCGTCTCAAAAAAAAAAAAAAAAAAGAATAATGGATCAAACCCACTGGGAGAGAGGTCTTGAGAAGCCCCGATGACACTCCCACCATCCTTGTCTCCATCATGCCTAGTATGGCTCACAGTGCTCAAATAGGGCATAAACAACTGTGGAGAAAATAATCACTAGTTGGATGAATGTAAAATAATGCTTAAGATGCACATAAAGTACTAGAACTGCTGGGCCTGAAAAATCTTTTGAAATGTAATGAATTCCTCCTACATAAAAGATGTAAAAAGGTGGAGGATTCAGTTAGAAAAGCATATGGAGCAACAGCACACTGAAGAGCCTGGACTTTTAGTCTAGGCACACCCAGAAGTAAAAAGACTCAGAAAGCAAAAGCATAGAGATAATATGAGTACAAAAAAAAAAGGGTGGCCGGGCGCTTTGGCTCAGGTTTGTAGTCCGAGCACTTTGGGAGGCCCAGGCGGGTGGATCACCTGAGGTCAGGAGTTGAGACCAGCTTGGCCAACATGGTGAAACTCCGTCTCTACAATAAATACGAAAAAAATTAGGCGCGGTGGTTCACGCCTGCAATCCCAGCATTTGGGAGGCCGAGGCGGGTGGATCACGAGGTCAGGAGTTCAAGACCAGCCTGGCCAAGATGGTGAAACCCTAGCTCTACTAAAAGTACAAAAATTAGCCGAACTCCGTCTCAAAAAAAAAGAAAAAAAGAAAAATTAGCCAGACGTGGTGGCAGCCACCTGTACGCCCAGCTACCTGGGAGGATGAGGTAGGAGAATCGCTTGAACCAGGAAGGCGGAGGCTGCAGTGAGCCGCGATCGCGCCGCTGCATTCCAACCTGGGAGACGGGGTGAGCCTCTGTCTCAAAAAAACAAAACAAAACAAAAAACAGAAAAACTTCGAAGTCAAGTAACGTTCAAACACTAATAAGGCAGTAAAATACGAATTTGGGGCAAGAGATTGCGGAAGACACTGAGAAACTTAACTGTATGAATCTGCGTCTGAGGTAATTACATTTCAATGTTTCCGTTTCTCCATTCCCTAAGGAATGGAAGCCCAGACTGCCTGGGAGGCAGACTTCGTTTCCAGCTACCGGCCCTTACTGCTGCTGCAAATCCGAGACTGGCTAAAGACCATCCGCTACAGCGGACGTCGGAAAACGAGACCTCGCAGTTCAGGAGGCAGGAAAAAGGCATGTCCGCGCCCTCATCCCAACAGACGCTCATAGTGTTTGGCCAGCTTGAGCTACATTCAGCCTCCACTTACCCAAGGGCCCCTTCCCCGCGGCCTTCGCTTTTAGCTCCTCGAGTTTCTTCTGCTCCTCTTTTTGTTTCTGCTTGAAAGCCTTATCTTCCTGGGGAGAGGCAAAGGGGGTTCAACTCAGGCCTGTTTCCCAGGCCCTCCGCACCCGCCCGTGCCACCGCGCCCGCCCTCACCTCGTCCATCTCCTTGGCCTGCTTCTTAGGCTGTTTCAGTGGCTTCTTCTTGCCACCTGTGGGCGACACGAGCACGTTCGGCCTGCCCCTGCCGCCCGATCCCCGCCCCGCCGTCCCCGTAGTCCTCACAGTCCTCACCGTCCCGCAACACTTACCTTCGCGGCCGGACATGGCGCCTGCCGCCCCTTCCCCAGACCCTGCCACCGGAAACGGCGCGTCTTCCCCCACCCTCTGTCGTAGACAGCGAGGCGGCTCCCCTGATTGGCTCCTAGTCAGGAAGTTGAACTCTCGCTACCGGATGCGGCGCTCCAGGGGCGGGGACTAACAGGTCAGAGGTCAACTGAGTGGCAGACGCTAGGTCCGGCCGCGCCTGGTACGAGGAGCTAGGGTCGTCCTGCCAGGGTAGAATCCGGAACCTTAGGAGGGGTACTTAATCGGAAGGCCCCCCCAGGCCTGTGGCCGTGCGCAGGAAGAGCACTTCAGGTACACAGCAGGGCATGTGCATGTGCAAAGGCCTTGAAGCTCGGCGCGTTCCTGGAACCGAGGAAAGCACAGCTTGGGTGGAGGTAGAGTAGGCTGGGAGATGGCAGAAGTGGGAGGGAGTTATATCACATGGTCCTATAGCTTTGAAAACCCCTGTAAGGAGTTTGTTTTATAATATAGTCAGGGGTGCAGCAGTTTGCGAATTCTGTTTATTCATCTATGAAAATGGTCTAAAAAATTTATTTTGGTGATGGCCATACAACACTGTGAATATGCTAAAACCACTGAATTGTACACATTGCGTGAATTATATGGTATGCAAGTTATATATCAATAAAGCTTTTTTTTTCCCCCCCGAGATGGAGCCTTGCTCTTGTCGCCCAGGCTGGAGTGCAATGGCACGATCTTGGCTCACTTCAACCTCTGCTTCCTGGGTTCAAGCGATTCTCCTGTCTCAGCCTCCCCAGTAGCTGGGATTACAGGTGCCCACCACCATGCCCGGAAAATTTTTGTATTTTTAGTAGAGACGGGGTTTCACCTCCCCAGTAGCTGGGATTACAGATGCCCGCCACCATGCCTGGAAAATTTTTGTATTTGTAGTAGAGACGGGGTTTCACCATATTGGCCAGGCTGGTCTCGAACTCCTGACCTCATGATCCTCCCGCCTCAGCCTCCCAAAGTGTTAGGATTACAGGTGTGAGCCACCGCGCCTGGCCAAAGCTCTTAATTTTTTAAATAACAGTGCTGAGTGCTGGGATGCTACAGTGTCCAAAGATTAGGCAGATGAATACATTTTTTGCTGGGTATGTACTATATGTAGGTACCAAGCTGAAATTCTAGTGAGTGAGACAGACTATAACCAAAGCAAATAAATGAGATACATATTGTAGGTCATGTGATAGGTGCATGGAAAAAATAAAGCGTAGACAGTGGGTCAGGAGTGCTAGGGTGGGAGTGGGATCGCCATATCTGATAGGGTGTGTGTAGACCTCCCAAGGGGCTACTAGTTGAGCAGGACTTGAAGAAGGTGAGGGAGCAAGCAGCACTGATAGCAGCTGTCATGAAGGCCCTGAGCTGGGGACAACCTGGTGCGCTCCAGCAACTTCAAGAAGATCCATGTGCTTGGAGTGGAGTGAGGAAAGGGAGACTAGTGGGAGATGAGGTCAGAGAAATGAGAGCCAGTGGGTAGGTTCCCTGTAGGCCATGGAAAAGACAGGCTTTTACCTTGAGAGAAGTGGGGAACCATTGTAGGGGTTGAGCAGAGAGACATGGTCCCACCTGTGTTTGGAAAGGAACATTGACTCTGCTGACAATAAATTGCAGTGACTGGAATAGAAGCAGGGTGACGTCTGTCAGGAGGCTCTTGGGATAGTCCAGGCTAGAGATGTGATGTGGGTCATTGGGACCATTTGGTAGCAGTGGCAGAGGTGAGAAGAGGAGGGATCCTGGATTTGGAAAGCCAGTGGCATTTGCTGATAGATGGATGTGAGGTGGGAGAGAAATGAGGAATCAGGGGTGATGCGAGGTTGTTGGTCTGAATACTTGAACTTGGTATTGCTGTCATCCATGTTGGAGAAGGCTATGGGAAAAACAGGTTTGGGAAGGGAAGATGAGATCTCCATTAGATTTTCAGGCAGACGGGCTGGGCGTGGTGACTCCTGCCTGTAATCCCAGCACTTTGGGAGGCTGAGGTGGGTGGATCACGAGGTCAGGGATTCGAGACCAGCTTGACCAACATGGTGAAACCCCGTCTCTACTAAAAATGTAAAAATTAGCTGGGCATGGTGGGGTGCCTGTAATCCCAGCTACTCAGGAGGCTGAGGCAGGAGAATTGCTTGAACCCGGGAGGTGGAGGTTGCAGTAAGCCGAGATTGTGCCACTGCACTCCAGCCTGGGCGACAGAGCAAGACTCCGTCTCAAAAAAAAAAAAAAGATTTTCAGGCAGAGATACAGGTTGGGAAGTTTGATAAATGAGCCAAGAACCCTGTGGAGAGAGGTATGGGCTGGAGGAGTCAAGAGTATAATTTTTTTTTTTTTTAAAACAACTTTATTGATGTATAACTTGCATACCATACAATTCATGCAATGTGTGCAATTCAGTGGTTTTATTATATCACAGAGTTGTATGGCCTTCACCAAAATAAATTTTTTAGACCATTTTCATAGATGATTTTTAAAACCACAGGACTGGATAAGAGAGGAGTCTGAGTGCTGAGCGCTGGGGTGCTGCATATTCCAGAGGTTAGGCAGATGAGTGGGGACTGGAAACCAAGTGAAACGGCATGTGAAGGAGGAGCGGGTGAAGGCCAGATCAGAGAGAGCTGGACGGAATCAGAGAAGAGGAACAGAAACAGTGAATTCAGGCAGTCTGTCAAGGAGTTTGGTTATAAAGGGAACCAGAGAAATGGGGCAGTTGCTGGTGGGGGTGTCAGATCAATTACTGAGCAGTGTCTCAGGAAGAGAGAGGATTTGGGCCCTGGGGCACAGGTTGGTCTTCCCTAGAAGCATGGGTTTTTTTATCCTGAGGATCAAGAGAGGAGGTGGAAATGGGGCAGTTACTGGTGATTGGGAGTTTGTGGAAGTTCTCTTCCAACTTTTTATTATTTTCTTGGTGGAAAATGAAGCAAGCAGACTATCAGGCTGGAAGTGAAGATGAGGAACATGATAGAGGCTTGAGGAAGGGGCAGTTGGTAGGAGACAGCCATCTACATAGAGTGGGAGAATGGATCTGAAGGGGCAGGATTCTGAACTTGACCCTCAGGGCCCTGCTTCACCTGTCCAGCTTCTCCATCCATTCATCTCTGCTTTTGCTTTCTAGTTGCACTGACTGCCTTTCAGGTTTTGAGCAACCTCAAGCACTTTCCACCTTTTCTCTTTGCCAGGAACATTCTTCCCCTTGGTGGTTGGGGGGCCTGTGAAATATCTAAGTGGTGACATCCTGGGGGCTGAGAAATGGGGCCTGGGGTTGGGGGCTGGTGGGGTGGTGGAGAGGCTGAGGGGAGGGACTGGAGTGGATAAACAACTTGGGAATTATTACCACATTCCCTTATGAAGTCTCTGTTGTCACCCAGCTTAGGTTCTAGTGAGAGAATAGGCAACACATAAGGAAATGTGTCCATCAGGAGAAAAATAAAGCAGAGAAGCTAGTTGGGGAGGGAGTGGTCAAGGAAGCCTTACTGAGAGGTGATATTTGGGCAAAGATGAAGATGTCAGGGTGAACTGAGTAGACTTGTGGAGGAAGAGTCATCCAGCTGGAGGAGGTGGCAGGGCACAGAGCAGCACAGTGGCTGGAGCAGAGTATGGCAGTAGAAGGAAGAGGATGAGGGCTGAGAGGTCTCAGGGCTTCTTGGCCACCGCCAGGTGAAATGGGAGCTTTTGGGGGATTTTGATCAGAGGAATGTAATCTGATTTTTGTGTTACAGAGCCTTGGGCTGCCATATGCAGAACGTGGGGGTGGGGGAGGGGAGGGAAGAAAGCGAAGATTGCACAAGAGACAGTAGAGTAGTTGTCATCTCTGCCAGGAATGGGTGACCTTCCTGGGGTCTAAAAGTGGGCAGCTAGTAGAGGCGGTGCTGGGAAAGGAGGCTGAGAAGGTTGGAGGAAGCCAAGAGGGGCAGTGATGTTGGGAAGAGAGGGTGTTGAAAAGTGGTGCCAGCCATGGTGGACACTGCATGCTTTGTTTGATGAAGGATACACCTGCAGGGGTGTTATAGAGTCCCAGCCTGTGTGTCGTGGGTGCTGGCCTTGAGGCCTGGGAGTCTGACTGGCTGCTGGGGCCTGGATGGTATGCACCCTCATGGCCATGGAACCCAGCCTTATGAAGGGGGCCCAGGGGTTTGGATGTGGCACGAGCTTGGGACCACTGTCACAGTGATGTTCCCTTCTGCAGCTCTCAGCTCAGGCCCACTTTGCCCAGAAAACATGTTTCTAGCCTACCAGCTGTGTTTTCAAAGCCCCTGAGCTTCTCCAAAGACAGCTCTTAGCACAGCATGATGGAGAGGAGGCTAGGGTGCTGTGGGGGGCCTCTGTCTCACATCACCTTCCATCAGGAAGCCCCTTTCTATTCTGTATTTGGAGCTCCTTCAGTTTCTTCCTGTCTGCAGCTCCCTCTGCTTTTCTCTCTCTGGCCTAGTCTGTTGGCCGCCAGGTGTCGCTCTCACAGCCAGGATCAGCGCTTAGGGACTTTGAGGTGTGGTTTGGCCAGAGGAGGGTGCTATTGGCTCAGCTTTTTCTGAGAAAATGGGTCACCTGGCCACCTCTTTGTGGTCCTCAGAGTCACCTGCACTCTTGGGCTCAGGTGAGGCCTGATTCTGGATAACAGGAGACTCCCTGCTGTTCAGGTAATGAGAAGCAGGCCCAAATATCAAAGCAAGATGGAAGAGGGAAAGATGAGAGAAACCTAACCCGTTGAGCAATGGCAGGTTGGAGAGGAAAGAGAAAACTTATGGAAGTCAAGGAGTATGAGACTGAGAGTTGGTGGCCTGGAAAGTCTGGGGGCGAAGACGGATGGCGTGAACCTAAGAAAAGTCCTCTGTGGCAAAAACAGTTTTGTTTTGTTTTGCCCTTGGAATTGTCTTAGAGGAGAGCTAAGAGTTTTCTGTCTTGGGTCACAAATGGCCTGTGTCCTTAGGCCCTTGTACAGAATTGAAACTCTGCTTCCCTTGTGCTGAGGCAGTCCTTAGAGAGTCTGGGGAGTTGGTTTTGAGGCTGTTTGACAGAAATGATCCTGGATCTTAGTCTTCCTAAATTCCCCTGAGTTCTACAACATTGCAGGGAGTATTTATGCATCTTTGTGGGGCTTTGTCAGCATGTGTACAACTCTGGTTTCAAAACTGTCTTTGATAT